TGTGATCATTTAGAAATAACATATTTACTATCGTCTCCAATATCTTCTAACAAACTCTGTCTAGCTCTATGCATATTTCTGTTTCTTCCGTGTTATTTCGAACAAAATATAAAAAAACTAAACGAGAAATTGCTTAGCAAAGTGTAGTAGTAGCTTCAGTATGAGAAATATCTAGTTCTGTAAACGGAAGTTACGCATTACGCAAGAGGTAAGGTAACGCAAGAATATACCAGCGGAGAGACACGAATCTTTTGCTCAAATACATTTCGTAAATATAACGAGAGAAAGCAGGCCGGCTTTGCCTGCTTGAATCATTCATCGGCACGGATGTAAGCGCGGACGTTACTGGAAACTTGAGTGTTGCCTGTTGCTTGTTACCTGTTTCCTGTTATCTGTCGCCTGTCACCAGTCGCCTGTCGCTTGTCGCCTGTCGCCTGTCTTCGATGTCTGCAAAAAAGTACATTATTTTATAATTGCACCTGCGAAATATGCGCAAAGGATATGATATAAACCATAATTTTATGCCCATAAAATTGAAAATTCATATTAGGAATTTTCTGATTTTTCTTTTCTCCCTTGTCCATAGATAAATCGTAGATGGATGTGCAAATTTTTGTGTGATGCAATAATCGATATTAAAGAGACGACTCTGGGCTATGACGTTTATCTCTTCTGTTACTTATAATAAAAAGATAGAAATGTAGGTAGGTTTTCATTTGTACCATTATATTCACTTATACATACTTTACACGAGTGAAGTGAGAATAAAATAGCAGTACATAAAAAGTGAAAATATTTTGAAGAAACGTTTAATTTTTATTTTTTGTTGCTATCGAGTGAAAAAGGTATTGTTATAAAGGTGGTAAAAATGATAAAGAGACGTGTATCTATATCTGTACAATAGGCGAGTAAAATTTGAAGTTTGTTAACCGGTTTTTGAAATATCACAGCAACCAATTATCAATGTATAGATAATTTTTAAAAGGAAACATTATATATCTGTTACATAGGATTTCTGTAATTTTGTTGTTATTTATGAGTTTAATCACTTTTTATATGTATACAATTATATGTACATAGTAATTATTCCCTTGTGTTATCTACTTACTAATATTTAAATACATCATTCTTTGAAGTTGAATGCTTGCTTGATGATTGCTTCCTGGGATCGCAAAATAATCGCAAAGTATACATATTTTCTGTGATTCTTTGTTTTCAAAACTTACGGTAAAAGCGGATAAAATTCTTGAAAAATAAAGACGGGAGTTGGGTAAAATAACGGTAGTTCACAGTACTTGTATCAAGTTACTAGTCTTCTTTTCTAGTTTCATGATTATTAACTTTAATTCAGATAATGTACTTTAACAGACATGATTTTGTTATATCTAACATTAAACGATAGATATATCGGATAACAACTTCAATTTATATAATGTTCCCTGAAGCGTGGATTAAAATATCAAATAGTTGGCGCAAGCCATTATGCCAGCAATCCTCGGAGAAAGATCCTTAATCTGTGGAGCAAGCGACGTTCTAGTTTTATTTAGCGTGGTTTTAAAAGCGGTATTATTGCCTATTCGGTTCTATCGTTAAATTTTCTCTCAGCAGGAGACGAACACGAATGTGGATTGCCACGTACTGGTCGTGTTCCCGTCCGCAGACTACAGTCGGTCTGCACTCTCCTCGGGCCGACGTGACGCGATACAACGTGCTATTATTTGCTGTAAGTACTATCATTTCTGCGTCACCGTTTCGCGCACGTTGCTCGCGATCCCGATGTATACCTACATATACATATACACATACATATACATATGCACGATGTAAGAGTCATCTCGTAAATTATGATACGAAGCGGTGATCGGTGTCTTCTTGAATTTAAATCACACTTGAGATTTGAGTCGAACAAATCAGGTGGGAAAGAGATGTTACTTCTTTTCTTCATGAGTATCTGCTTTCCGTAACGTCAATACGAGTCACGTAAGATTAGAACTGAAAATATTATCGTTATCTTTTACGATATGAGAAAATCCATCTAAATAAGAAAAGTTAAAATTTCATGTCAAAGTATACAATTTTACGAAAATTAAAAATTAATCGATAATTTATACTTTACCTAATATTAATGTATGTACTTAATATCCCTCAACGCGAATAATCGTGCAGTTATCATGTTAACCACAAATAATACAGAATACAGAATAAATACAAAAAATGCGTTTGTGCATAAGAATAGAGGATAAAAATAGTAGTCGGAAAGTTTAGCGCTTAACGTGTTAACCGCTATATGTTATATGTTATAGAGAGCTTGACTATATCGATCAGTTGTAAGCATGTCGTCGTCAGCAATTTATTAAGATTTAATTAACGCGAAGAGAATCTTTATAGTCTATGTATATATATACACACGCTTCCTGTTACATATCGAGTAACAATAAGTCAACTTGTATGCTGTGGGTGGTCAAGATGAGCAAAAGTGGGGTGCCACCAAGGGTTTAGATCCAACGATCGTGTCACCGTCCGAACAGTTAGCATTAAACGAATAAAAATAAGAAGGCTTTCATACAAACGTTCGACAATGTCGACAATGACAGTATTAAAGTGAATATTGCGTTATATGTTATATCATATGCGAGTGCACAATATGTAAATATATACATACATACATACATACTTGATTGTGACATGGTGTTAATTCAAAGACGAAGACAAAGGTCAATGGCAGTTTGATCTGCTGAATAAGAATGTGAAATTGTAAATCGATGACTCGATCAATATTAACAGCTGATACATTAGGGTTAGATAGGTAGGAACGCGACCATATGTGTAATTAGTACGCGCTGACAAACTAAATTGGTAGACCGATCATATCCGTTTCAAGAAAATTGCGATTAATCAACTATAATCGATCATCTGAATGTTTATCGGTCGATTTCACTATTTCCATGTTACGTTACTAACTTTTTACTCGTATATATGTGTATCTATTTCAATATAGTAATGAACGTTTAAAGTAGAGAAATATCACGGCTGCGAAAATCTTGACCGAATTACCATCGTTGCTCGAAACTCGTCTGTTACGTCACCAGAAATCCACTACCTTGGTAATCTCGAACCAAATATACATATAATACATACGTATATAATATGTAAATCCTTTGTAACGATTACCAATTTAACGATTACGTAAAAGTATCGGTGCTGTTCGGTTCTGTGTTCCTTTATAGCTTATAATAAGATAAAATACAGATGAAATTCAACGAGATTCAATTACTTCTCCGGTTGCTAGTTAAGTTTCTTTTGCTGATTAATACATACGACAAAATTACTTTTCAAAATATCTGATAACTTGAATATACATATATATGAATACATATATATACTTGAATATACATACTTATATGTCGGAGATGGAAAGACAGCGGGATTTCCCGTCCGGAATGTTGGGAAAAACCTCAATATACTAGTCCAGACTTTTACTATAGCCGCCCTTAAGTAATAAAACTAAGAAATAGTCTTAACGGTCACGGGAGGGACATGTGCCTGACAGAGGTATGAAATGATTATATGGCTCTCCTTAAAAACAAAGAGCAACCCGAGAAGCGGCGACAGAAGTATATAAGGGCAGCCTCTTTTGGATTAAGAGAGTTAGAGTTAGAGTGTTAGAGCCGTTGGACGAATTGCCGATCGAGTGATCCGAATCGAGTAGTACGTTGATACTTGTTCTCCCGTGAATCGTAGATTCGTTATCGAACCTGAATTCGTTGTCACCATCATCTCGACCATCCTATTACCATTACTCATAGCCTCTTGTAACGTCCACATTCGTACTGATAAATATTGGCTATATTCGCGACGGTAAAGTAAGTAAAGGTTCATCGAACGCCCCAAAATGCCAACCTGTCTCCGACATATATATATTTCATAATATGTATGTACGTATGTATTTAGTTTATTTTCGAAATATGTACATATGTACATATTTTTAGTTGCGTTCCAAATGCACTTTCATATTTACATATGCGTTTAAGATAATCCGTAATAAAATGTAAAGTAATGTATACCTATTGCTTGTTTTTCATTTGGGACGTAAAGGATAATGAAAATACAATATAATAATAATTTTAATAATTTTCGCATAATGTGAAAATTGAACAGTATACCAAGTGAAAAATGGAAATGAATATGTTATATATGTAATTGTTTCATATCTAATAAAAGGATTGTAAATGATAGGCAAATTGTTTCTTGTTAAATGTTTCTCATTGAACTTACGATTAGATAAATTGAATTATAATTTTTAGTTTATTGTGTGTATGTGCGTGCACGCGCGTGTGTGTGTATCTAGTTGCGAAAATCTCATAATTGCCAATTATCCACTGTTGAATAAATATGAGACGATATTTGATAATTAACAATACTCTTTAAAAAAGATATTTACATACACATAATACGACTTTTTCACTGCGTTATATAGCAATGCCTTATTAAATTAATGCCCGCGTCAAGTTGCGCTATATATCTCGGAATATATCGAGACGAGAGACAGACATTGGTAGCTGAAAACAAACTATCAATATACAAAGTTATTGTGAAATCCATCTATATATACGGCATCGAACTTTGGAGAATAGTTGCCGATGGTTATGTTAATCAAATAAAATCAATGCAGCCGATAATACTTGGAACGATAATCTAAGAAATAGGACAGATCTTAAAACAGTTAAAGAAGAAATAGAACGACCCGCAAATTGCAAACAAATATAAAGCTCGACTAGAAAATCACCCAAATAACCTAGCTAGCAGTATTGTACACAGTAAATCTATACTACACAATAATTTAATACTGCTAGCAACAAATGATAAAACAGTTTACCGAATGTTTGTACAAGCAAATTGTAAATTTACCATGGAGTTAATAAAGAAGAAGTAAACAAAATTAACGCCAGTTGTGAAGGTAGCAAGTTTTGCTTATTTTGCTTTACTTATTATTTCCACAGGGATAAAGATAAGACAATGACAATCAACGAAGGAAATCCTGTGCCGACCGCAACCTTTTCTTCAGAATCGATGACCACTTCCACCGGAAACTTGGATGATGATTCCACAACGACGTCACAACTTTCACCTTCTTCATCAACGTCCTTTATCGGAGATTGTGTTTACAGAGGCGAGGGAAATGCGAATATCGTAGTTGCACTTCCACAAGTAAGACGACAAGCTTTCTTTCTTATAATTAGACAATTTGTTGATTCACTTTATTTTCACTTTTATCGCTACATGTCTTTTTTTCATGTGTTCTATCGCAAATGTGTTATCAGTTTTTCAGAGGCTTATGAGAAATTCGATGTATGTAATATTTTTACGAATCGCATACACAGTATCACAAAACCTATAGATTATGCATAATATGTACAGAACAACACAATGAATATAAAAAATTAATATATGTATGTAGGTATACCTGTATTTATACTTAGCGCTGTGTTGGTTGAAAAATTTTACATCGTGAACGTGAATGTTTTTCTGTATCTACACTTATCGTTTGCGAGAAAGAAATTAGCTAGTAAGAACTGAAATGCACTGTATGCTGTCTATTGTATACTTTATACAGTACTGCACACAGATTTAAGATCAGTGTTGCAGGGGTGAGATGACTGCTTCAAAGATCAAGTTGAAAGATGGAACAAGTTGTTAACTCGCAAATTTCCTTGTATGTTAAACAGCCAATGATTAATCTAATTTGAGTTATTTCAATGCAATTATGTATTTCTATTAATTTAAATGATCAAGGCGAACCGTTCAAATTAGATATTCGAAGTTTCCTTTTTCGAAAAGCGTAGACTGCTTTCAACGAGACAACTCTTTATTTGAGTGGAAGATAATAAGAACTAGGACGGCTAATAGTACCATCGGAGAAAACACAAAGTAGAAGAACCACGAAGACGAAATTCAGTGATAAGCCAAATTCATTTTATTTCATTTTCACTTCCTTGTTTCAACGGAAAAAGCAGTGTTCTTGTTATACAATTTATGTTGAAAGAGAAGAGATTTCTTTGCTGGCTGACATAAACTTGTTTCAATTCGTCTCGTGTGTATATGATCCTTTGCTATTTGCGTCAGAAATTAAGTTTGTGTGTATATATAATGGTTTATGGAAGTTATTTTAGCAGAACATATCCATCATCTAGTAAAATACGTTTAACGTGGTAACGAGTAACATGTTACGATGCGTTAGCATGTGACACTATTCATTATGACTATGCGATATCGTTACAGTTTACAGTTTTACAGTGTCACGACACACCGGTCTCTGTTTTTCTATTCTAAAATAGTTTCTAAAATAGTGAATGTTTCTCGTAAGACGCGTAAATTTACATTACTGTCACATTATTATCGTCGCTTTATTACATTGTTGCAGTTACCTTCGAATCTGTTTATTTCAGGCAACAAATATGTGTATATAAATATACATATGTATATGTCAATATATATAGTATACATGTATCTATAAAAATGTTTTAATAGATTGCAATATATCGCATCGAATATCTGGAGAATCGAGATAATGTCCTGAGGTAAGGAGATTTTGTAATTCCCTTTACATATACATGTGTATTATTGAATACAAACTAATCTTTTAATTATTTTTATTTATTATTTATTATTTCAACTTGTTTGATCGTGATCTCTTACTATGTCTTTCCAACTATTTTTACAAGTTGCATTCGTCGATATGTGTCGATATTATCTTGCATATATGTATATACATATATTTATTCGTACATTATTCAAGCGATCAAGGAGTTTCGAAACTGATTTCAATATTCTCTGGTATCGTTGAAAAAATTAGCTGTCGCAAAGAGTACATTGAACAAACGAATTTATATATAACGATTTATATATTCTCCAACCACCTTTCCACGTCCTTTTATAATTTGCAGCATTCGTCTATCATCACATAAACATCCGTTTTCTTACTTGCAACGAATTACAAATCACTCGCTCACGTTCTCGCAATTACGCTTATTTCCACTTCCTGTCTGTCTTTGCAAGCTTACTTCTTGCTTGGTTCCTTGAAACCGATATAACTATTGTACATATCATAGTCGTAATTACAATCAGAAATCAATCGTCACTTGGCTTAACGCGTTTTCTTAAGATTTGGCAAATACGACTATGCTATATACTATTTACATACTTATAGTCGTACATATATGGATCGAACGCAATCGTTAAACTGTAAACCAATTGGAAAGTAGCATAGAATTAAAAATTCAATACATGAATATAAATTAAAATAGAGATCGGTACTTATAATACACATTTATAGGATGTCGTTAAATATAATATGTATCAAAATTGAAAACATTACATACGTGTATATATTCGAATTCACTATACATATTTCTTCTATTAGGTCCATTAGACATTTGGATTGGTTATTAATTGATACGTATAACGTATTTTTCCATTTTAAGACGAGATAGAATATAGAATATACACTGATGAATAAAGATAAACTGCTTATATAAGCTAGCATTGTCAATACATACTTTCATTGTTTGATAAATAATCATTGAAATAAAAACGCACATCTGCCAACGTTTAATTGCCTTTCCGTTTTATGATAGGAAGAGTTTCCATGCATGATATGTATATATGTAGATATTCGGCACTCATCACTATTCATATCCATCATATGTACACTTATTCATGAAAGAAAGACCAAGTGACAGTCGGGGAACGAGCGAACGACTGACAAGGACAAGTTACCATTCTCTTTGTGTCGATGCGCATATATACTGCGCATGCGTGAGTGAGAAAAAGAGAAGCATAACTCTAATCTGTAACTGAACAAAGATAAAAAAAGAAGAGTGATTAAAATTAAAACGATGGTCGTTGACCTCCGTAATCGTTGGAAAGGGTAATTGTTAGGTAGTGGGAAACTAAGCTGTAGAGTTAGAGTGGGGATTTCATCAATGATCGATGAGTTTTTCGTTTCAAAATTATGGAAGATACCGTGATTGTGATTGTGATTGTGATTGTGATTGTGATTGTGATTGTGATTGTGATTGTGCATAAAACGATGTACATACATGCATACATACACGAGTACATCGTGCTATGAAAAACAGATTACATTCCTTCATCCTCAAATTCAATTATTAATCAATTATCAGTTTTCAAACTTGATTTATTATTAATATTATAATAACAAATAAGATATACATGCATGTTGTCCATTTTTATATCAGTGCATCATTTGTCTGTTCTATTGTAACTTTTGTTTTTGTTATAATTATATTTATATTAGAAAAGATGCTGCATTTTATTGAAAAATTACGGATATTATTAGTACTACGGATAGTACTGCTATATCGAACGATATTACGGTTGCGAGAGAATGAAAAGAAAGAATATTTTATGTTACAGGTAATAAGATGTACAGTATGATGCCTAAATTAATTGTGTATGTATTGGATATATAGATTAGATACATACTTATATAGATATATGTAGGTATATGTATGTTTAATTTTTTCACTTGTTTAGAACCGAATACACTCCTATAAATAATTTTTTTTATAGGAGAGAGTATCTTTTTCTATAACATGTTCCTTGATAAATACCGTGTTAAAACGGTATGTGTCATGAAAGTAAGCACGTACATATATATACAATATATAGATCCACAGTAATACACACTTTTGTTGGCACAAAGGTGGGTGACGCACGAGAAACTTACCTACAGCCACGTCAGCCAAAGGACAACCTTAGGTATATGTATATGAATATGAATATGCACATGTATATGTATATGTATATGTATATGTATGTACATACATACATATATCGATTGGACGTTTATGAAAGGCGACAAGCACCTGACAAGTTCACATGGATACCGTAAAATCAGATGTTCTAGATTTTATATTTGCTTGTATATTGACATCGCTTACCTACATCGACTTCTTTTTAATCGATAATACGAAACCGGCTCACCGCTAAATTTTTGCTTATTGTTAGCTCGATTGCGATTAACCATTTGTTGTTTCTCAAAAATAGAAATACAAGTTTGTCAATGATAAGTTCATCGCCACTGAATTATATTGAATTTCATTGAATTACACTGAATTACACTCAATTACACTCAATTACACTCGATTAGAGCCAATTACACGTCGTCGCTGAACTGTTGCCAAGCGATCTAAAAGCCAAGTCCTGCCAGTAGCTTCAATAATTTTGAACAACTTGTGTTGAATTCAGAATCTTAGGCATGTCAATTTCCATTAAACGATATATTATCCATTGAGATGTGTGATGAAGATTCTGCATATACTTGTATTAATTCAAGAATTACTTGAAATGTCATATTTATCAATTACCTCAATTTGCATTCGCGTGTTTCTTCTATCGGTTCTTCATTCCCTTGATAGAAACACATTGATAACATTTTATAAACTTAAAAAATGTGCATATCTAACTATATACATACATATATGTACGATTTCTTTTTTCTAAAATCTTTTTCTCGAATTCATCACCGAGGTTATAGATAATTTTTTAAAATCTCAAAACTTAATTTCACTTGTTATATTATATTATGTTATATCATATCATATCATATCACATCACATCACATCACATCACATCACATCACATCACATCACATCACATCACATCACATCACATCACATCACATCACATCACATCACATCACATCACATCACATCACATCACATCACATCACATCACATCACATCACATCACATCACATCACATCACATCACATCACATCACATCACATCACATCACATCACATCACATCACATCACATCACATCACATCACATCACATCACATCACATCACATCACATCACATCACATCACATCACATCACATCACATCACATCACATCACATCACATCACATCACATCACATCACATCACATCACATCACATCACATCACATCACATCACATCACATCACATCACATCACATCACATCACATCACATCACATCACATCACATCACATCACATCACATCACATCACATCACATCACATCACATCACATCACATCACATCACATCACATCACATCACATCACATCACATCACATCACATCACATCACATCACATCACATCACATCACATCACATCACATCACATCACATCACATCACATCACATCACATCACATCACATCACATCACATCACATCACATCACATCACATCACATCACATCACATCACATCACATCACATCACATCACATCACATCACATCACATCACATCACATCACATCACATCACATCACATCACATCACATCACATCACATCACATCACATCACATCACATCACATCACATCACATCACATCACATCACATCACATCACATCACATCACATCACATCACATCACATCACATCACATCACATCACATCACATCACATCACATCACATCACATCACATCACATCATATCATATCATATCATATTATATTATATTATATTACACACATTTACGAGCTCAGTCACATTGATATGCCCGTTTTATTCATGTATGGCTGTACTTCTAATTCTAACACTTTCAAAAGATCATTATGGAAACATTATTGACCAACGGATTATGATCGTTTTTTATTTTCTTTCAAGAAGATAATCTGGCAGGATGTGATCTCGTTAGTGATATTGGCTATTTTCTATATGAACGGCGATGTACATACAAACGTACGCACCAGTAATAATTAACACCATGTCATTTAAGCAATTCACTGATAGTAACTGAAGCCTGCTACGCAATGGAAATTGTGGTTTGCCACGATATGAAATGCTGTCGACCTAATTTCAATTCCCTGACAAAGTCAATGAACAAAGTAACGGGAAAAAGGCCTCGTTTTTTCAGATTTTCTATGCTATCCAACAATAAGTATTTTCATGATGAGTTTCATTTGTTGCATCGCATTGCACCGTTTCAAAACTTGCTCTGTCTTTCTAATTAGATTCTCGTGACTGCGATTTGATTTCTGGAATATGACACCACTGTGTTGAGTTCAATAATGGTAATAACAATAAGAATAACACAAAGAATAACGATAACTAAAGTACTATAATAAAAAATAGAAAAATAATACAATAAGTGTTCAAAGCCGAAAGAAAATACTGATATTAACTAAAATACTAGAATACGATTGATTAGAATGTACTCGTTCTCCTCATACGCCTGCACGTACGCGAGTCCAACTGGTTCCTTATTCCTTACTCCTTCACGCTTGAAGACAACGCGACTTGATGGATGTGTAATGTAATGTGTATATGTATGGATACATATCTACGTATAGAGACGGACGGCCATTTAACTTTAACTGGCTATCATATCTTCAGATATTTGTTTAGTTTAGTTTAAGTTTAGGTTTAGGCTAGAAGCGCGAAACCGTCAATCCGATCCAACCGGTTTTCCATCTTCTGTGCCTCAATTGTTGACGGTACCGATGACCGACACCGATATTAATACTGATATATGTACATACAGTGGCTCACGAAAGTATTCGAACGCTTACATATGCAAATTTGAATAGCCGAAATAATGTATATTAAAGTAATTTGCTTAGACAAGTAGATGTCGATAGAAAGATGGAAGTCTTAAGATTATGTCAATAAAGGATTCGACAAGGTAGGTAGAAGTTATCGATACATTTATTAGAAACACACATTATAAATGACTGACAAAAGTGTTTGAACGCTACATATATTATTAAATTATTTAATATTAATATCTGGTTGGACCACCTTTAGCAGCAATAATGTGTCTCGATCGACGTCTCATACTGTAAACCAATGATTTTGTAAAACTACACTCAACGGAGTTCCATATTTCTATAATTTTATCTTTCAATACTTGCTTTCAGGTTATCTAAAATTTATTTAGTCTTTTTCCGATTTCAGCCCATAAATTTTCAATTGGATTTATGTCTGAACTTTGCGATGGAGTAATTAACATGTGTGGTTTGTTATGTACGATCCGTTCTTTCACAATTCTAGCAGTATGCTTAGGATCATTATAATGTTGGAAGCGGAAATCTTCCAATAATCCTAATTTACGGGCACTTTCTTTAAGGTTATTTTTTAAAATATTTAAATACTTATATTTATCAAGTAGATTCCATCAATAAATTTCAAATTTCCGGAGCCACTAGCAGCCATGGACCCCCACACCATGCCCACTCCACCTCCGTGTTTCACTATTTGATGTAAATGTCGAATTTCCAATTCCGTATTTGCTTTTCTTCACACATAATTTTCACCATCTGAGCCAAAAATGTTAAACTTTGACTCGTCCGATGAGACGACTTTGTCCCAAAAAGAATTATCTTTATTAATGTAGGTTTTTGCAAAAGTCAATCTTTTTTATGATTTACCGCATTAATATATAGCTTCATTCGCGGTACTCTGCCATGAAAGTTATTGTCTCGTAAGATTCGCCGATATTATTCCGGGTAAACTTCTTTATGAAACATATCAGCTACCATACTTGCGAGTCGAGGAGCGGATGTAGTAGGATTTTTTTTCATTCGCGAATGGATAACTTTCTCCTATCTTTCAGTCAATTTCTTTGGTCGACCTGATCGAGGTTTGTTTGCAAGTGTTCCCCTCATTCTTTGACTTTTTTTATGATATATGTAGACTTCTAAGTCTAATATGTAGACTAAATTGTTTGATAACAAATTAATTTAGTACACCTCATTTTATTAATTGAATTTTGTAAGTGTAAGCGTTCGAGTACTTTCGTGAGCCACTGTGTGTATTTCATATGCAATTGTCGAGGGCCCCAACAGTGAGTATAGTAAGAAATATATCAAATACCGAGGAGTAATTATGGCATAGTGTTTATAACTGTAATTATGTGGAATTTAATTTTAAATAAATAGCTTTTTTATCGAGAACGCGAGAGAAATTTGATGTTTCATTTTTGCTTCAGTTTCTTTTGTAGCGTAAGTGCATATAAATAAATAATAAACAGTTTACGATTCTAAATAATGTAATTTTGTCTTCAAATTTAATCGAAATTATTGAAATACATATGTAATTAAAAAATGAAAGCATTCTAGTTTATTCTGGTTTAGTATTACCTGGTTGACATTGTTTTAATTTATGCGTATAATTTTATTCGTTTTTAAAACAAAATTCCTTTATCCAAAAGCTTATATCTATATATACACAAGTCAGTATATAAACAGATATCCTTTCACTGTATGTAAAATTAAACTAATTAAGGAAATTAAAAGGTTTACCTTTAGGTTTAGGTTTCATTTTGCCGCAAATTTAAAATCATTGTAATAACATTATGTGCGTATATACATTGTATGTGTATCATTCGAATGTAATATATACAAGTATTATATACGTATTATATGTATAAATCTAATGTCTCTGTATGTTTCAGGAGCAGAAAGTAATTCGATTTCGGAAATCGCTGCCAGATGATGTTTCACCGGATGGCGGCAAACAACGAACCGAACGACAAGTGGAATTCGTGAGATTTGTGGCTTTCTGTTTTTTGGGCCCGTACACGCAAGTCCCTGAGATTCTTCGTTACGATGCGAAAGACATTGCTAAACTTTCAGAAGCTATTCGACCCCTACGATCAGGTAATTATTTTCAAACTATGTACATAGCTAGCTTATAACAAATTTTATATGAAACACTATAGAATAGACTACAGTGATGTGATACATTGAAATTATTTATTTTAATCATTTTAGTATACTTTTAAATTAGATAGGCTTTGATTTACAAATTTAAAAGCTATCATATATATACATACATATGTATTATGTATGGTGATACGAATAGGAGAACGGTTATCGTCTATAGTCTATCCTACATGTACGAATATACTTCTTTATTCTCTAAACTTGGTTTGTACTACTTTAAATGTAATAGTCAATAGAATATAGTCTTCATTCGAAATTAATCAAAAATCAAAGAGTACGAAGTAATATGTATAGCTAATTTTTATAGTAAGAAATTTTTTTAAATATATTTTTTGGTATCTTGGTGGAATACAAATTGTAATATGTACAACCTTGCTTCAAAGATACCTATAATCATGTGTTATCTGAAGGCTTTTCGGGATTCAATGAAATTTAATTCGATAGTGTTCAGTGTTCCTCGGCTTTACTTACGCCTGTTATGAATGCTGCTTTTCTGTACGGTTCACACACCATTGCGCCAGTAAGTACGTCAAGTACGTCACACGGTAGCTGGTAGCTGGTAGCTGGTAGCTGGTAGCTGTGCTGTGTGCACTCGAAATTCGAAACTCGAAAGAATGACGACGCGACACCGCGTCGTGCGACATCGCATCGTATCGCTAGACACTTTTGAGAAAACATTAAGGTTACTCCTTTGTATATTATTATGGAAGTATATACCTTCACGAAGAGGTGCACACGCTCCCCTGAGATGGGCATACACGTGCGATCAATCATTCCTACGAAAAGGGTACAGCCCCAGCGTAATATCCATTTAGTTCTCCTTCGGGAAAGCTGATGCATGATCTACTGAGTCATCGAGCTTGACTCACCATCTTCTTCGCTACATCCCAAGTCAAACTTCACTTCAAAATCATTTTCTCGCGCGTGGTCTATCCTCTTTCCCGAACAATTATTACAGATGCCTTAGGAATTATTATAATTGCCGCAAGTTCAAAGATATTGTCGGATACTGATGAAATACGATATAGCTTCTGTCGCTTAAAAAAGTATTCAAATTTTATTATACCGAATCTAATAACAAATAAAATGAATTTAATAACAAGGTATGATCTTGCCTGTACAATTTATAAATTTTATTATTAATCTAATAATAATTATTATAATTTATTATAATACGAGTTTTATTGCTCGATGAGCACCATATTTTGAAACTTACATGATGCGCGTGAAACTTGCTTCTACGAGAACCCGACAAGCTGATAGGAAGAAATTAGAACGATATGAGAAACCGTTTGCGCAAAATGGAAACCTCTCGAATTACGAAGAAAACACGTTATACAGGAAATCTGAATAGCTTCCTCTTAATGACTTTTCGTACGTATGTATATTGTGTATGTATACTTCATCTGGACTAGGCTTTCCGATACTTTTCCCTTTTGCTTGCTACATGTTTGAAACGCCAACTATCGAGTTGCGACGTAATATGTATGATAATAAACAGTGAGTCCTGTAAATTGCTTCACAATAATCGTGCCAAAATCGGTAATTTCATAGTTGAATATGACATAATTAATAACTATATTCGTTTGCAAATGTACATTACCGTTTCGAAGGTTAAAATACCTTATTAATTGCTATATAGTATAGAGTTACTACGCTATAACTTTCACTTCGTTTATTCTTATTATGTTATAGATCATAATTGTCAGAATATCTATCATATAAGATATTCGCGATGTAATGCACAGTACACTTCACTATATAATACACAGTACACATCATTAATTTTCACGAAATCTTAAAAAAGTTGTTATTTTAGTGTTGGTAATGTTTTGTAATTATACAATGAGTACAAAATGTTACCATTGTAGCAATTATTTGTTTGAAGATAATTGCATAATTTTAACTATGAGTATTTCATCTTGGAAGGTATAATCGTTTATGAGAACTTTGTACTCGATATAGATAATTATAAAATAACTTTAAGATAACATATTATTAATTTAACAAACATTTTTGGCAAATTAAACCTGCGAAAATGTTTTAAATGTTTTAAGTCTTTGAAACGAACTATCATGTACTTACATATGTACTAATATGTAGGTATATTAATTATTAAATAATAATTTTTTCGTATTTTAATCAAAGTGAAGAAATGTTTCAAAGAATGACCCATGGATGTACATAATACGTGTTACTTACAATTACATTAATAGAATAAGATGAAAATTAATCCTCTAATATCTAATTATAATAAAATTTCTAACTTTTATCCTTTAAGGATCTAATTAATTTAATGCCAAACGCGCCATGACAGGGGAGAGTTATATTAGTTATACTACTGCGCATTATATCTATGACAGATATTATACATACAGACTATACTATACATTATACACTATACGCCATACATTACGATACTGATACATAACACAATTAAGTTTGCGTCGCCTCGCATCGTATGTATTCAAAATTCAAATGTCCCGCATGATATGTGGTCAACTTTAGAAGACGAGTATTAGTTACTGGCCAATAAATTATATCTCGATAATCTGAACAAATTTTTATTCAAATTTTAGTTATTGTCATCAACGATGATCACGCGATTTGTCTATTTTAGATACATAGGTACATATTCCACTAATAACATGGAAACTATACTAATAAACATATGTACTTATAAATGACTGTTGCTTTCGATATATCTTTCTATCCACTAATCATATTCTAAAATCGTCCTTTCTTTCAGATAAACGACGTAATAAGGAAATCATGGACATATATGCCACAACATTTCCGGATTACACGTTTCTTCCAATAAAATTCAATACTAATCTCTTTCCAACTAACAGAACATTTTGTGTTGAAATTAAACCAAAACAGGGCTATCTGCAAGATATTGACCGCAAATTTCAAAAATGTCCTTACTGTCTGACACAATATTATAAGGTAATATAATGATTTCATGTTTACAATAACGGCACGCCCTATACATATATATATACATACATAAATACTTATTCTAGCTATATCATGCAAACATAATGTATAAATATGTACATATATTTCTCATACCGTTCATCTACTACAACGATGATATAACTTAAAAGCAAAAATTTTAGAGAAAATATATTTAAATGTTTTATATAAATAAGAACTACTTCCTATACCGACAAATCAACTTTTAAATCAAACAGCAAATTTTAAAAAAATTTTTGTTGCAATAAATGAACAATATATGACATGTTATTATTTTTCTCTTTATCTTTCACTGAAGATGAAATTAAATGAAATGAATATTTTTAATTAATGCTTTTTTATCATTTCAGTTAAGGAACAAGATGATTACATGCCGTAGCACTTATTGTCCGTTTGATCTCTTCTCGGGAGTGGAAACTCGTATGAAATCGGCACTAAAAGCACTACTAACATCACCACAGAATAATCTCAAGATTTTTAAGGATGGCGTTATAGTTTATGACCAAGAATCAACTTGCAGTGATCTTGAATGTGTCTTGACGGAATGGTTTCACAATTCTATTAATTTTACAAATATAGAATACATTGATCACTTTTGTAATTTAATTTGCACCGCTCTTTTACGTCCGTTTATTTTCGAAGAATTTAAGTCTAATATATTTCCTGCGCATGAATTGCGCACATCTGTTATCGAACAAGATTCGAAGACGTCCTCATACATTAATCCGGATCTGATAGCAAGAGCTAAGAAATATTTGTATTTTACTGGAGAGGTAGATATTAACTTTAAATCCTTGTGACATTTGCTTAGTTTAGTCAAGTTTAAATATAACATAAATTTATCTCTTTTACAGACGTGCAACTTAAAGGGAGAAATATTGCCAAATAATTCGGTACTAGAACGAATACTTCATATGCAGCGGCTACCTTTTATTAGCTCAGAATACGTTTATAATACGTATTCAAAGTTTCGTTCATGGCTAACTGATGATATTATATATTCTAATTTAATAAACATGTTCAAACTTGATGATCGAATATCTTGTCCCAAACAAAAAGTAAGTAAATATTTACTTATTGTATATTACGTATTATACATATATTTAATCCACGTACAATGTAAGTGATCAAATAATTCAAATCCTATTTCTAACATGTATATCAATACTTCTACATTGGAATAATAAGTTACGAAACAACATATTTCATTTACAACATTTATCATAACATATGTAACTATATATACGTACATATATCTGTTTTATAGAAATGAGTTTTTATAGTAGTAAAGATATCTTTTAGTAATATAGTAGAGATATCTTAACAATTCTCTTATTTTTCAGAAAACTATTATAGGTATTCCTGAAACATTAAGAGACACTTATATACAAACATATGCCAAAGATACTTCGATTTCAAAAAAATCCAAGTTTGACCACGACGATTATTGTGGCAACAAACGTATTAATAAACCTAGTGAAAATATCCTTATATCGAAACCAATCTTAATTCCAATTGAAAAACATAATTTATGGTACAATAAATGTAGCGTATTAAGTAACGGAGATAAAGTACACTGTAACGAAAAAGAAACATATTTTTATGTAAATACTGAAAGTATACTATGCCTGCAGAATTATCTCTTATTTTCATGTGCTAGAGATTGTTCGATATTGATGTCATTTCGAGAAATAAATCCGTAAGTTTCGAAAATATTTTATTCTGTGAATAATGAATATTGAATAATATTTTATAACAAAAATATTTTAATAAAATGTTAAAGAAATAATTATTTAACCTTTGAACAGTAATCGAATTTCTGGAAATTTGGATACTAATATACTTTTTTCTCTAATATACATATGTAGGAATACAGTATCGCCTATTCTCGATAAAAATATAATACAACTTCCGGATGGACTCAGCTTTGTTTGTGACATCAGGATTTCTGACATAGATCCGAAAAGTCTACATTGCATTGAAAAACATCGGCAACGGGACATCGACGTTTTAAATTCAGTAATATCCTTTCTAGAAGAAGAATTTATAATTAAACATTAAAAGTCGTTTGAAAAATGATTACCGTAATAGTAATTTTCAACTATAAGTAAGACCTTACTGTGTAATGTTCCTGTATCTCATATCTTTTAAAAATATAGATGTTATACATATATGTATGTTTTACATATCTCTATGGTATATGTAATATTTATAAATATAGAGAACATATGTATAACAGATATGTTTTTGTAGAACATGTATAATACAGAAATTATAATATTATTATGTTACAGTTATATTGTAAAGTATTCACAATTAATAATGTAAATTCACAATTGTTCATTAAAATATATACTTTATACATTCATATATTCATCTAACACAATCAGCAGGTTCATTCCTCGGTCGACATGATATTTTAGCTTGTTCTGATAATTTAACAGTGTTTCAAACAAAAACTCATCAGTATCAGATGAAGAATTTGCGGATGTAAAAGAGCTTCCAAGAAGTTTCATTTTTCCATTAACACACACACAGAGGGGTGGGGGGGGGGGTATCCT